TCAGCACACAACTGTCAGTCAGCACCAATCACAGCCTTTGGCAACCATAGCGCCCGTCCAGAATAATCCAATCGATGCAATCCTGGACAGCGCATGTACCTGGTCCACGCAGCTGGCACGCAATCCACTGCCATCGAACGAATGAAGACCCTCATCTCCTACGAGTACATAGTTCACTTTTGCCAATGGAGAGACAGCCAATGTCAACTGGACTTTGCGCCTCGCATACCACATGACAGCACCAACATCAACATCCTTGAACAAGGAACTAGTAGTAAAGTCTCAATAGGACCATTGAGCATACTCCTCAATGTGACAAGATCACTTTCTGTACGGAACATCAAGCGGTTCCAATATCCGGAGCATGCTCTCGTCGATCTTGCTGGAGTGGCAAAACTGAAATGTCACGGAGAAGTTGCTGGTCAAGGCCCTCACAACAACTATGTCTATGACGACGATGACAGCAGCAAGTTTCCAAATCGAAGTTGTTTGCGCGTCCAAGTCATCCGAGACAAAGGAGGATACAACAACCCTGAAGACAACCGGATCTCAGACGCAGGATCGTTGGATACTTGGCAAGAAGCAGCTCACTCGTGTGCGAATCACGCCCTGGAAGGCATTGTTCACGAGCAGGTGAGGAATGTCCAATTGATCCTGGCAACATCAGCTGAGAACCCCAATTAGATAATTGCTGCAATTCGAGACTTACATCCCAGGCAAACAAACCATGGTGAACCTGTGGAAAGGTGAGACCATCTTCACCTTCTCCGACAATTCGCTCGAAGCAGGTTTAGGATCAGATGGGATCATCAACAAGAAAGGCCGGTCGACCATTGAGCCAAATCCTTTCGCACTATCCTCAGATGAACCAACACGCTTGCCCAGGCAGAATCCATCAGCGATTGTCCAAGCCAGAAGAGTTGAAGAAGCCCCACCTCCAGCATCATCACATGAATACCGACCAATTTCGATTCAAAGCGCTTCAGTTTCCAAAATCGACATACATTTTTTGATAAGATTCGTAGTGAGCGCGAAGATTTCCAGGCAGCAAAACAAGAAACGAGTGGACTTCGAGCGGGCGTTTGGGGACATGACATTCACTGATCACTGTCAAGTTCCCCGCGGAACCGGAGAGCACATCATTGTTTTTGTCATCCTGGATGGAGCAGCAACATCGCTCACTGCAGAGGCAGTGAATACCACGCAGGAAGTTGAGTACTTGATCAAGTTTTCATGATTGAGACATGGGCGCACTTCTCAGGAACATCACCTGCCTTTCTCAAGAAGGTAACATACAGACAACTTGTCAAGGCAGCTGCAACTGTCAGAAACCAGACTGCCACCCACAGGGGTGTAACACCATTGGAACTCGCATTCGGAAGACGACCAGCAGATCTCATCCAGCTTGATGTCGCAATACCTACGCAATTGACGATCAACAGGAAGGAGCCAGGCAGAGTTGACAGCAGTTCAGATCAAACAGCTGTCCAAGCAAGCATTCCAAGAAGCTCTTCAATCGAAGACCTGCAGAGGAGAAGCAGAAGAAGAAGACTGAGACAAAGTCAGCACAGCCATTGAAGCTGACGCAGAAGATCAAGGGAAGATTCTCAGTCCGACAACCCTGTTCAGGGCAACGTCAGGCCGCCTTTGCCGCGCAGATCTGAGCACCCTCAATCATTCATGGAGATCCAAAAATCATTTTGTGGTGGACTTGCTGGGCCTGATGCCAAGGCTCCAAACGCGAAAGCAGCTTCAACAAGGGCTCTGAAACAAAAGGTCTCTCAAGGGTGTCGACGCCACAGCCACGTAATCCCCTGGTCCTCGTATTTTGCGCGGTAAAACCGAACACAAGACACACTTGCCGAAATAGCTTCAGCCAAGCCCAACCCCTAGAATATGCCACGTTAACCAGTGATCCGGTTTTCCACACCTTGAGACTATCCGGGTAATGGAAGGCACGCGCCGGCTCTCCAGCCACCCGTTCCAACACATCAGGGCAACGCGTCGCTCCAGCTCCCCTGGCCCGCGGTCTAAGGAACCTCCCCCACCCCGCGATGCCATGCCATCTCCTGTGCCAGGCGCTCCCAAGCGGCTGTGCCAAGAAGTCCGGAGGCATCGCAGCAGAGTGTACCGGCAGGGGGCAAAATGGAACCAGGATTTGGACCGGGCTTCACCAAGACGTTGCCCCATGGGGGCACCCCCTATTTTTTTGGAGCCACTGAGAAGTCGCTGGGCCCCTGAATGAATTCTGACCCTTTCAGGATTGTTTTCAACGGAAGCCAAAGGAATCACCATAACCTGCATCTGCCTCCTCGCACATCCATCAAGGTATACGGGAAGAACCGGGACATCCACATTGAGAAGAAGAATGATTTCCAGGCCGAATTGCCCGAGGCCTCGCAACACCCTGTGCAGGACTATGACCATCGCCATGTCGCTCGGGCAGGAATACCATTTGCAACAATTGGGGTTTTCAGCGCGGCAACAGAGTTCCAGCCTCTGACAACAGAGTTCCAGCGCGACGCGATCACCCGAGGTGGTAACAAATCTGTGAACAGCTTCAGCAAGTTGCAACACGCCTAACGTCCGGACAACGGTCTTCTCTACCGTGCCATCAAACTCTTCCAAATAACATGGAATGACACTCAAGCATTCCCACCCGTGGGTCGTCCGTCGTCTTGATTGCACCATGGATACCTCAGCCAACATGCAGGGCATGTGCTGCATACAAAGACTGGATCCGACTATGACAGGAGTTTTCCAGATTGTATGGTCACATTCGTCTTTGGCTGGGCAAGGACACAAGACCAACAGGCATTCCGACAACGGGAATGCGACCTGATAACGCCTCACGATCAGACCAAATTCGAAGTCGACAACACCCGAGTCATCGCCGACTCAGGTTCAAGCACCTCGCCAGTGAGATGTTCATGAATGGAACAAGTGACGGAGAAACGCACCTCCCGCTGATGGTGTACATCCGGAGTCGATCCGAAGCCAAGCAGAGAAACATCCAGAAGACCAAGCATCATTACAACAAGAAGAACACTTGGCAGCCTTGGGGTCAGAAGAAGCACTACAACAAGGTCAACGACTACTACGAATGGCAGAACCAAGTTCATCAATCCTGGGTGGACCATTCCGCAACCGCATCGGATAGCAGCTACCAGGACAAGAAGTGGTGACGATGAACGTGCACAATCCAATTTTGACACACCCGAAAACGGCACCATGGTATGCCCGACCAATCAATATCCTCACTGAGTCTTTTCCTCTCACCTCATTGACAACAAGACTACTTTTATTGCGATATCAACCTCGTCGTCCATAAGACTATTGAGAGTCGATAGCTTCACAAGGACAATCCTGTCCTTCGATTTCAGCAAGCATCAGTCAAGAAAGAAGCAACTGCTTAGACACAACTAGTTGTCTCTTTTGATTCCTAATTATGTGTGCGAGTTCGATTTCAACTTGCATTGCGCCTGTCTATGTGTTCCACCAAGAAGGTGATCTCAATGAATTGAAAATGAATTCCGCACAAATCTATTTGAAAGGGCTACGGCGCAAAAGGCCAAACCTGTGTATATGTTTACGCATACATATTCAGTTTGGAGTGAACGATCAAAAAATGTGTCTGTTTTGTGTTGCCTTTTGCTTCGCATTGCACCATTGATCTTCCCACAGCAATTTTGGCTCAAGGCCTTTCTTCTTTCCACACTACGCGTGTGATTCTGCATCGGGGAGAAAGAACCTTGCGGAACGCTCACAGGGACAACCACTGCATACCTATTCACCAGTCTCTGCATCCATTATTGGGACATCATTGGATCCTCTTGATATGGAAGCAGGGACCATAACGAGACCGGAGCCACAATGGGTGCTCCCTCCTTGGGGATCGAGCACCCCCGGTTTGGGACTCACTCCCCCCCCATTTTTATTGGGCGACCCACGATAAAAAAGAGGGTTAGAGGGTGGAATGCGCTGAACAAAAACTGGACAATGCTATGCATATGGTGGCTGCACGCTGCTTCCAGGCAACCGCACTGCCACCCGTCTCTGCAAGGGCTTACAACTGGGCTCAAGTCATGTTTGCAGGTAAACAAGATAAGATTCAGACTACCATTAACAACGCCGAGGCTAACACGCAAAATCAACCAGACATTCTCCGCTCCGTTTCCTTAAACTCAAGAAACCACAACACACAAACACACAAACACACAAACACACACACACACAAACACACAAACACACAAACACACAAACACACAAACACACAAACACGCAAACACACAAACAAACAGACACACAGACACACAAACACACAAACACACAAACACCAACACACACACACACACACTGACACAAGTTACTGCCCACTCAAAGCCTCTCTGCCTGGTGCACCCCACATTGCATCTCCAGTTCTTAAAACCTGACCACCACCTAAAACCGTTTCCGCGCAGTCTTCACTATATAAATCATAAGCTGCCAGTCACCAGTAACCGGCCAGGATCCCACATCCAAACTCTAGCCGGGTTGCATTTGTTCCGCATCTTTTAGGCCTACAACACCAGCGGACCTCTCCAAACGGGTGGCTTCATGGTGGTACCCTTAAAAACTGTCCAACCTACGTCAGGAAAGTGGATTATTTCACCGATCTCACCATGATCACACCTCTGTCAACTGCTTACCATGGCGGCATAACGTGCTTACTAGTTGTTAATTACAGGCTACTATTGAGGTATCTGGTCTACTTCCCTGCCGTAGGTTGCTTCCGCATTGACCGTTTCATTCTTCAAAACATGCTGAGAACATATTTGCAGTAGTCTGATAGATTCCCTTCACAAGAAACAAGGGTTTTATTTATTTCAGCATAGAGATAGATTCCCTCTAAAACCAACAGGGGAACATAAACAAAAAAAACCATTTCAGCAAATGGACGGCTTTCAGGGCAATCCAAGCGCAAAGGCGTTGAAGGGGTGCAGAACTCTGCGAAGCCCTGCCTGCGGCACATTGGTGTGGCGATACGAGTGGTCCTCCCAGGGGGCAACCAATAGCCGCGTGGCCGCGCAGCTTCAAAGCTTGTTGTCAGTCAGTTGGAACCACCTTAGGGGTTGGTGGACATTGCCCAAATGATGTCCACAAAGTCCCCAATGAAAACTCGCACCCAGAAAAAAAACATGAAAAACAAAACAAACTGCAAACAAACATAGAACCACATTCACTTCCTGTAAAACCCTGTTCCTTTCAAAAGCGGCCCCTGCGCAGGTTAGATAAGCGGTCGCAACCCAACAGGCTCAGGCTGTCCACTTTCAGGAGGCCACTCAGCTCATTCTTTTGGAATTGGGGTCCATGGCAACTGCCTGGTGGAACTTTGATCCCTGGATCAAATGTGAAAAAAACTAAACTAGAGTCGACTTTCGAGTGCGAACGCCTATTGCTTCAACCTCCTTTTCCTTTTTGTAAGGTCCATAGCACCTTGTTTCTTGTTTGCTCAATCTTGCACTCGCTGCTCCGTTGAACATCATCTGTTTTCCCTGGTTGCAAGGACTCCCTGATAATCGCTCGTTTGCTCGCCAAGCCCGAGTGGGCCCTCCCTCCAAATCGCAACACATCGCTCACCAAAACGGTAGGTGCAATGGGTAAAATACGTCCTTCAACTCGGATGCCCCTTACCTAAAGCTAAGTTCGCCTCTGGAGAACTTGATGAAACATCGAAGGAAAAACCCTACACAATTTTAACCGACCAACTCGCTGCGAGTCGAGTGCAAGATCCTGGAGCAATCGGCTAAATTTGACCAGCTAAAAACAAGCATCGAGATAATTATGAAATTAAATTCAAGATTTCGAACAAAGGACTGTGACCCAAATTTTATCCATGACATATAGAATTAAATCCTTGCAAAGAGCCCCAGCCGCTTCCCATGTTGGTCCTCCTCCAGTGTCCAGGGGCTGGCATAGGGGTCCGATCCGTGCAAGCGCTCGCACAGCCGGGCCCGCAAGGACGCACATCCCGATGCGCTTGCCATGGGAGCTCCCAGCTACCCCCAAGGGGGACTCCCTGCAAAAAATAACAAATCAAGCATGACAGAGACGCACACTTTGTAGCTTAAAGCCATGTCAGACAACCAAACCCCGGATGTTCCACTTACCTTCTGCAATTCTCAAGTGGGTCGAACAACCAGGTTGTTCATGGTCGGTTCTTGAAAGGGGCGGGGCATGGCCAATGCGACTTTCAATAATCCCAGTTCAGAAACCAGTCGGAGCCTCATGTCGTAAGGATTGCGGCTAACCTTTGAACAGCCCGTTGAGGAATCTGACACTTGGCTCCAGTACGGGAAAGCTATGGGACAGCAAGACATGAAAACGGTCTTGAAATCTGGGCTTGGCTCTAAATGGGAGGAGACAAACATGGCGCTGTGAAGAGAACTTTCCATATACTCTCAGGCAAAAACGAAAAGAAAAACAACTTAGAACTGAAGATCGGTATTGAGAAACAACCTGGGCGTGCACAAGTCTGTATCAACAGTCAAAACGCCTCTCGGCTCACTTCCCGCGGATTGACAAACACAAAACTGAGCTGTCCTCAGATCCCCCACTAAAAGTTGAACTCTTAGTGGGCTGAATGGAAAACCCCACTAAACACTAAAAAGCCAAAAAGCTAAGGGGATGGCTGGGAGCCACCAAGTAAACACGTCGCTGTTGTTTCTTGCTTCCCACTAAACTGATCCTTAAGCCCAGGAACTGCAGAAGTGTGCGCCATGACCGCAAGCTTCACATCGGACTCTGCACGTCGGAACAGCCTCCAGTGCCAGCATCATTTTCCGGAACACGACTTGCAGTCTGAAACTGGGCCTCTCTTTTGGGGGGAACCCGAAATGGTGTTTTATGTTTCTTCTGCTTTGTCCTTTTACCAAACAACATGGGTACCCTCAAGGAACGACACACAACTTTTGATTTGCCACAAACAAATAGGTTGTGGAACGGCTGGCCTTTAAAGGGACCGAAGGGGATACCAAGGACCCTTCATTTTCATTAAGGAGCCCTTGCGGTCTTTCAGGGATCCGCGCAGCCAGAACGAGTTTCGTTGCGGGCCACGGGGATGCGGGTTTGGTTTTTGGTTGAGGGCAACCCTTTTCGGAGTGGTCTCAAAGGGACATGGAAAGCACAACCACCGTGTCTTGCTTCCCCCCACCCATGTATTGCCATCGCAAATGAGGAAATGAGTGGCCAGGCTACCACGAACCAACAGAGCGAGTTCAGTGGCGCTCAAATATAACTCCCCGGAATCCTAGAGCTCATCCATCCAGCGAGTGTGTGCATGGGCTTGTGCGCTTGAGTGTTTGCGCGTTTGTGTGTTTCTGTGTTTCCGTGTTGGCATGGTTGCGAGTTTGTGTGTTTGTGTGTTTGCGTGTTGGCGCGGTTGCGTGTTTGTGTGTTTGCGTGTTGGCGTGATTGTGTGTTGGCATCTTGGCGTGGTTGCGTTTTTGTGTTCTTATGTTTATTGTTGTGCTTGTGGTTGTGCTTGTGCGGTTGTGCTTGTGTGTGTGTTTCTGGGGCTCGGTACCCTTTCGGGTATTACAGGGAACCAAAAAGGACAAGCTTGGGTCAGTTGCACAACATCACTTTTGCCCTGTGATGAGGATTGTTTTTCTGGAGCAGCAGGCTTTGGCCACCTCCCCGAGTAACGAACATGCAATTTGCCCCAGAACTGGTGCAGCCCAAGGGACGAACACCCAAGGCTCAGGCAACCAAACTCACGGTCTGACGTACAGCGACCCCCAGTCTCATTTTGGTACTTGCCCTGAAAGCGGCACCCCGCCGGGAAAAAAACATAACAATAAAATACAAACAACACTAAACAAGAAACGAGAAAAACGGGAACCACTGGGTGTCTGGGTTCATGGAATCATCATTCTGTCAACTTCTCAGGGTACAACCCAGTTGCAAGCGGTGAACGCTTTTCGGGGTTGACCAATTGTGGTTTTGGAGCCCTTGACTTCTTGATTGGATCAGCAAAACAGACTTCTAGAAGTTGTTTTCACCAAAATGGTCAAAAGTCATGGGTATGTGTCAAAATAATTAGGGGGACCCTACATCCTGCAAATCCTTACGCCAAGTATACTTTGGGGTCTCAACAAGGACCCCCCCAAATCGCGGTGTTCCTTTGGCTTCCCTTTAAAACCAACCAAAAGGAGTTTCCCTAACAACAACAAATCAGCATCCGGGCACCAGCACCGAATTCTGAACAAGACATCTCGGTGGGTGAATCTTAGCTCAGACCACATGGGGTGAATTACAACAATGTTTCACCAACCTGAAAATCCGAGAACAGAGCCACCAAAATTTCAAAACCAACCTGGGTAATAGAGCATTAGACTCTCTTTCGCTGGACGCTGTTGGGAAAACATGCTGGGAACAACAAACATCGACCAACACTTGTGTGTGTGTGGGTTCGGAGGGAGGGGTTGTTTGGGGGGTTGGTAGGAACAATTAGATGAAACTTATTTGTTTCCCCAAAGGGGGCATGAGAACATTGGGTGGGCCCCCCTTCTCGAGCTCAACAAAAATGATCACCAACGAATTTGCCAGTTGGATGTATGTCCACGCCGTTGAGGCCTTCTTAGAGTCTTGTTTTTGAAACAAACCGGTCAGATTCCCGTAGAAACCGTCAAAGTCACCTAAGAAACAACTCATCCCACCTAGAAATCCGTCTGTCCGTCTCTCCCCTCGAAAAAAAACACCCGTCCAATTCCCCTCACCAGTTTCATTGGTCCAGAGCATCCGGTCGGTCGCTTCTCTGCTCGCCTTTGGCTTTCCTTCGGAGTCGAGAAGGAAGGGCTTCCCTGGATCTGTTTTGGCGGGATCAAATCTCGCCTTGCACATGGGCGTGTCTTGAAATAGGGGTCCAAAATGGTGGGTGTTCCGTTTGAAACCCGCCAAACAATGGGTGCTCTCAAAAAGCGCGCACACACACACACACTTATATTTTGAGACAAGGTCCCATTGGGAACGACATGCAGACATAAGACTCTAAGGTACCCACTGAGGACCTCTTTTCTCTGTTGGGCCGATGTGGAGGTGAACTTCCGGAGAAATGTTCCATAGCTAGGCTTCGTCAAAGTCCCAACCCGACCGTTCCCAAAGACTGATCGGACATGTTTGAGTTTCACATTGGCCCACTTCCGAGCGAGTGGGCTGGCCAAGCAAAGCAACTCACTGGGCCCCAAAAAAGTCCAAACTTTTTCTGTACCACTAAAATGGTCTTCCCAAAAAATTTAAAGTTCATGAACTCAGGAAGTGAGGCAAGCCAACTGTTTGCCACCGAACTGGTCCAACGCCCAAAAGTTGTCAAGTCCAAGTCCACGGCGATGCTTCCCACGCGATCCACACTCTCGGGGCTTTTGAAACCCCAAAGACCCCAAGGGAGGGCTACAACTCTTGGAACTCTTGGGACCCTACGAACCTACGACAAACCTTGACCTTGACAACTCGGACCTATGGACAATAGAAAGCAAACGCTACCCATAGAGGCTGAGGCTTTAGGAGATGATTGATTCGGCCCAGAGCGTAAAGGCTCAGACGGCAGAACAGATAAACCAGGTAACATCTCGGTGCGAGAAAAGGGGTTCTGGAAGATATCAACAATTACCACCCCTTTGTGGTTTCCAGTTGGGAAAACTCGACAACCCCAGGTATGGTAGCAACACACTCTGCCTTTTTGCAGCCTCCCACTAGAAGTAAACAGATCCACAACACCTATAAGCCCAAACATATGCCAAGAACAGTGAAGAACCGTCACATCTATGGGCTACCAGCATGAGTCATAGCTCACAGGTCAACTCATTCGCTGCGGTAAATGAGCGCGCCAAAATACTGTTTCCAGAGGACATGGGCTGAACCCTGGCTTTTTGTAGGGAAATTTCAGTGTTCCTCCCCTTCTCATCCTTCCCAAGAATAGACTGCCAACCACATTGTCAGTGACTCATACGGGTGATTCTTTCCAAACCATGTATCCTCGCATTCTTTTTTCTACCAATCCCTCCCCCCAACGGTTGGCACCAAAATAGGTCTTCTGTCCTGCGCGCTCCGGGCCTGATGGAACAACGCTTGGCACAAGGACTCAGATCAGTCCCGTTGGGGCGCCCTTTCTCCCAACTCTCCTTCCTCAAAATTTGGGTTCTGAATACGGGACCTTACACACCGACTTGTCCCTTGGAATTCCGTGGGCCGCCATCCCACAATGGTACCGACTCAAAGAGAGGCATCCATTTCCACCTAAGGGGTCAGGCGAGCGAAGAAAAAGAACGGAGCTTCATCTTGCTTGGGTATTTTTCTCTGGGCCTCCTCCTCGCAGGAAGCTCAAAGGGAACCGTCCATCTTTAGGGGTTTCCATTTTTTCACAGAAGCTTAAAGTCACTTCCTGAGTGGATGGCCAAAAAGTCCAGGCTTCTTATATGCCATTAAAATGGTTTTCCCAACATGTATCAAGTCCAGGAGCAGCAAGTCAGTGAATCAAGAGAAGCCTTGAGTTTGGTCAACTTTCGCCGGAGCAACCCTAAGCCCTGGCTTGGGGCTGCGAACAAATTGGCAAGTTCGACTCTGGACATCAAAGGCATACCCCGAACATGTGTTTCACCCTTCTGGTATATAAGCAACAAAACCTTGTATTTGCAAACATTTGCAGAACCCGCCCAATAACTCAAACCAACAGAAGCAATACAAAAGCTGGTGCAAAGGAATCTCTTTTGAGTGCCCCAAAACCCCAGCCTCCTTTGATTCATCTTGCTGGTGCTCAGCAGGGAATGAGGGATTGACCCCTATCAACAATTCGTTGTGGTTTCTTTAGGGATCCCCGGGTTCATTCCCAACCCCCGTGTTGATTCCCGATTTTGGGAAATGTTTGGCACTGCCAAAGTTTTCAGTGGCGACAGATCCTGGATGTTGACCCAGTTTCTCTGAAAACAGGAAGCCAAACTTCCATTTGCTTAAGCCCCCTAGGAAAAAACACACACATACTTCCAGTAGTCATAGATTCCCTTTAAAACCAACAGGGCAAAACATATTCTTAAGCAAATGGAAGCTAAACGCTTCTCCTTTGAGCCAAAGAGGCCACTGATCTTTTGCCAGTTGATCCATAAAAGTTAGGAACCTTACAATCCGGCAAAAGGTTCAGATCTCTGGCTTCAGCAATCTGAAAGACATGAACACGGACACAGAGACAGACACAGACACACAAACAAACAAACAAATTGGGTGTTTTTAAGAGGCCTGTGGTCTTACTGAATACTGTATACATAACAAGTACATATATAATTCCGAAATATTCTTTAAATTATTGTAAAAATTGTTTAAATGTTTCAAACATTTCAAAAGAATATTTTCAAATATTCTTTTTAATTCCAATTAATTTAAAAGAATATTTCAAAATATTCTTTTTGAATTTACCCTATTTTGAAGAATTTACAAAAATGTTTCCACATATTACTTACTTATTTAATGTTGTGTAAACAAGTCCAGATATATTATTGCATCCTTTTGGTGTCCCGTGTGCCACATTGTCTGAATGCTAGGCGGTGGGCCTAAAGAAAATGCTGAACATACGTTTGCAAGCTGCCCAGTATTCCAATCAGTGAGGCAATGGTTGACCCGACCCTTTGCCCCCCTCTTGTCAGAAACTAATCCGTAGCCTAGTTTGCTTGAAAGCTCTCCTCACCTGAAGCCCTTGCTTTTTCCGAACGCCAGAATCCTAAGTCAGTCTCCACTCGTCCTAGCACGCTTCTGGGCCAGGCTTGGCGATGGAGCAGCTGGCTGAGGCTGCGCCAGCAAGTCCACAGCGCCCGTCCTGCGGCAAAAACAATGCTAGAATTAAAGACTATTCTTTGTGTTCCGGCTTGAGACATTAGAATGCATATGCCCCACATTTTCAAACTGACCGTTGATGAAAGTGACAAAGTGCGCACAACAGCTCAAAAGCAATTCCCCGGCACTCCACCAAAAGGCACACCCTGCCCTGTTTTGATGCGGGCCAGCTGGCCTCCGCGCTTGCCAAGTGTGCATCAGCCCCAGTCTGTCGCCACGACACAGCTGTGAAAGCGCACTGCGTAAGCGCCAGGAGGACGGGCAGCGCCATAGCGTTGCCTGCCAAGTCTTGCATCAAACATTCTGACGGCATCCACGCGGCCGGAGGCCCGTGCCCTGGGCACTCGGTCGAAGACCCCTGTCGCGTGGCCTGAGGCCCTTTCCCTGGCGGCGCTGGCTTGCTGGCCAGAGACCGCAGAAGCTCGTCTTGAAGCTGCCTCAAGAAAGGCAGGGACGGGAATCCTTGATATTTCAAAGCCTCGCGACCTAGCAGGAGCCGGCAGTCCTCGCTCTTGGAAGCCTCGATCCACAGCTGTTGTCTTGGAAGGGCTGTAGGGGCTACGTAAACTTGCCAACTCTCTCACTGGCTTCTAGCTACCTTTCTCTCACTGGCCAACTCTCGTTTTATGATTGAAACTCGTTTTCCATAACAAAGGCCAAGGAACACAAGAGAACATACTCTTAAACGCAGCCTCATCAGCCGGCCTCCGGCGCGTCGTCGGCAAAAAGCGAGCGGTAGGCCTTGATATTGCGGAAAAGCATGAACTCGGCACACTTGACTTCAAGGAGCTTTAGCCAGACCCTCTCAGACAAGATCAGTCTGCATCCTGGCACATCGATGCTCTCCAAGAGACCAAGGGCAGCCTGCATCTCTTGCGCCTTGGGCGCGCCGGAAGAAAGTTCGCTGCTCAGGGAAAGCGCTGCAGATGCGAGGGTGGTGATCTCAAGCTGCTTCGATTCTTCCAGAAGTCCGTGCTTGTTGGGTGACTCCTCAATCTTCTTCTGGAGCTGGCTTGAGTGGTTCCTCAAAGAAGTCAAAGACTTCCCGCGGCCGTTGGCCGCGGTCGGACAAGTCTTGGTCAAAGCGCAGCGGTGGCTCCAACCTGCGTCGGATGTCATCCAGCTGCTTTGTCACAGTGCCTTTCAGGCGCAGGCCCCGGCCGTCCAGCAGCACTGGTGCGTGAGTAAGGGCTCCAGCTCCAGCGTCCGCAGTGTTCGCCTTTTTGTCGTCGTCTGCCTTGGCTGCCTTAGCATTCTCAGGCTTGGCCTTGCCTTCGCTGCCGGCACCAGCAGCCGTGGTGGCTGGGCCTTTGTCAGCGGGGGTCCCTTTGCCAAGGCCGCCGCCACTGCTTTTCGCAGGTGGAGCCTTGCCTTGGGTCGTGGCTGAGGCCTTGGGCTTGGCCTTGCCTTTCGCCGCTTTCCGGCCAACCCCCAAGCGCGCGGCCACCGCAACGTCTGAGTCCGAGCTCGGCTCAGACTTCGCTTCCTCCAGCGCAGCCGGGAGCTTTTTCTGCTGAGCCCGCGCTAGTCTTGTCCGCCACTCTTGGGGCGCTGCCTTGGCTGGCTTGGCCAGCAACAACTGCCAAGATGGCGTCCAAGTCAAGAGCCTGCGGTCCTTTCGCAGCTGCTGCGCCTGAGCGCCTCTCGTTTTGTGCGTCGTTGAACACGGACGCCACGGCCTTCTTTTTGCTGGCCAGGGCCTCCTCTGCAAACTGTGCTCGCCGTCGTGCTCTAAAGTCTCTTGCACGTGGCTTTGCGTCTGGAAGTGATTGACTTTGTATAGTGACCCTTCTTGCCGCTCTGGACGTAGGCCCCCCGCACTGTCTTTCCAAAACACTTGCTCCTCCAGTTTGGCCTCATCCAGCTGACCGTACTCTTTCTCATCCCAGTGCTCCTGGGACACGGAAACCATGTCAGGGGCCTCGAAAGTCACGCCTGAGCTCCGCTGGGACTTCAGCTGCTGCTTCGCCTTCTGCACGCCCTGCTTGTGTGACAGGTCAAGACGAGACTGCCCTGGACTTGAGTTGCGCGTCTTGATCCACCTGTCAAGCTTCGCCAAAAAGTCCTGGTGGTCCACCGCCTTGGATTTGATCTTGTCTGCGTACCTCTTGTGTGAGCCATGCGTGTAGTCCATGCCGAGCATTTTGAACAAGTTACGGCACAGCAAGCACACTCTGCCTTCGGGCACAGAAAACTCCTCGCCCTGCTTGTTGTGCACTCCGCTTCTATACTTCGCCCACGGGCGCTTGCCACCCCAGGAGTCGAAAGGAGTGGCTTCCAGCAAAGGGAAGGCTCCGTGCTGCTGCAATTGCAAGGCGAGCAGCTGCAGGGCTTGGAAAGACTAAAGCTCAGACTGCGCTGCTTACCGCGCCCTGACCGCACAGACTGCCTTGCCTGGAGCGACTCCGCATCTGCAAACAACTCGCTTCCGAGGTCGTCATCCCTGTCGCCATAGCTAGTCGCGCTTCGCACGCTCACACTGGGCGGCATGGCGCCGGGCCGGACACAAACGACGACTGCACCAGTAAGAGCAACAGTCGCTGCAACTTAGCACAAGGGACGATACCAATAACAAACGTATGCCGCATTTCCGGCAATAGTGACCACGCCAAACCTGACAGTGCCTGCTGCGGCTCCCCCCCCTGACCTTGGGCCTGCAGGCCAGCGGCAAATGGCTACAGTGGAATGCCGCTGCGCGCGCAGATCTGGCAAAGACGCTCCCCGTGCCCCACACATTCTTTATGTCTGGATTTGCTGGAAAGTTGAAACGCACGCCGTGCATGGCCGAAGGCCCTAAGGAAAGCACCGGCGCTCAGCACCAGGCGCGAGGCCGCTAGCTACCTGCGAGAAATGGAGTGGCAAACTAGGAGTGTGCGATGTGTGTGTGTGAAAACAACAATTGAAAACAAACATTTATGAAAACATTGTATGCCCGGAATGATTGAAACTTGTTTAAATTTCTTTTAAGATTATGGGGAAAAAGAAACATTTCGGAAAATCTTTTCTCTAACTAAACCCTTAGTTTCTCTAACTAAACCCTTAGTTTCTCTAACTAAACCCTTAGTTTCTCTAACTAAACCCTTAGTTTCTCTAACTAGACAAATATTTTAATTATTCTTATATTTTTCTCGAAAATTATCTGCTTATTTATTGTTTAATAAAACATTCAATGTTGTAAACATACATTAATTACTGCATTCGTTCCGAAGTGATTGAGATTCATTATCCGGCCGCCGTTAAACATGCCAATATACTTGCGTTTGGCCAAGAAAGCTGCGCCTGGCTGAAGATCAACTACAATTCGGTCCAGCTCCTCCTCCGATAAGCCAACTGCGAAGGCGCCCAAGCCAGGACCTCCAAGGGAGACAGGGTGAGATCGCGGGCGGTGCGGGGGGAAGTCGCTTCAGGCGGATGATGCACTCCGCGCGGGTCATGCCCCCAAGGCTGTGACAGCCTTTTTACAACTGGAGCCTTGCGCGTCGCCGCGATTGTAGTGGAGTCCACATATTGCCCCCCAGCCAGAGTGGCCAGCGCGTGGAACGATTGGCGAAATCACGAAGGGGCTCCAGGGGAGACCCCGCTTCTGGTTCCGTCTTGCGGCCGCGGGGCGGCCGGATGCGGGGCAGCCGCGACGGCGCCGTGCTCGGGCGCTCCTTCCGCAGGGGCCAGCTGACACAGCGCGTCCGTGTCTGCGTTTGCGGAGGCTGCTGCGTGGCTTTCAGGTAGGTCAGGCTCTGGCGCGGGCGGCGGGACATGCAGCTGCCAGTGGTCATCTTGCTCATCATCTGCGAGCTCGTCGTCGCCGTCAGCGTCGCCATCTTCCTCGCCTAAGGCGGGTTCCGCGACACCGTCATCTCCAGCCCCGGCCCGCGGCCTGTTGCCCTCAGGCAGCCTTCCAGTCTGAGAAGGGGCTCCCCTGCGGCCTCTGCCTCGGCCAGACGGCGACCACTTTTGTTTCGAGCCGTCGCCAGCCGGCAGCGCGCAAATCTCGCTGCTCCTGCTTGATCTGCGCTGCCTCTGCCAGCAGCTGGTCTGTGTCAAAAGCTTGGAGGCTCTCAACGCGGAATATATCCGCAGAGTCAGCAACGTCGCCAAAATGAGCTGGCTCACGCTCCAGTCCTGGTGTGCTTTTACCAGGTGGTGGACAAGAGCTAAATCGTTCCAGTGCCGCACAGAGCCCGCACGAAGATCGTGCGCTTGCAGCTTCCTGTCGTACGGAGGCGCGCGCTTGCGAGTCACATCTGCGCAGAGCTCGAGGAAGATCATGTCCATGTTCGCGACATGAGTCCTAAAGGCTAGGACGGCCGCAAACACCCGGCCTGATGCTTGGCTCTCCCGAGTAGCGCGAGAGGGCTGGCTGACAGTCGGCCCTTCGCAGGCGCTCGCCGCCGCACGATGACAGAGAGGCCGGTGTGAATCACCTGGGCGTGAGCTCTTTCTGCGTCTGTGAAATCAGCAAAGCAGCCACCAGGCGGGCACACAGCAAAAAGGCAGCTGCCCTCTTCCATGTCCAGATCTTCCTCCGGCTCCGCCGGGGCCGTGTGCGCCTGTGTGACCAAGGCTAGGGGACGCAGGGCTCAGCTGCGCAGCTCAACATTCTATAACAACCAGGGCCCGCAAAGCAAGCCATCTATCCGAGAAAATGAGAGTGACGCAAGGGAGCGCGCGCGTGCCTCCAACTGCTTCCTATAGCAGTGGCATTCAAAATCACACTGGCAATGTTCCATGGCCTGTCTGAGCACGTTTGTTGTCGCTGTCGATAATCCAAACTGAAGTGAGTGCAGGGCCCGTCACAGGCAAAACACACGAACACAAATGCGCGCGCCGTCTTGCCTCTGCTCAGGCAGCAGCCTCTGCCCGGAAGCCGCCGTGCTCGGCGAGTCCTTTGGTCAAGAAGTCCAACGCAAGTGGCCAGGTCTGATCGCCAGCCTCCGGCAAAAACGAAAGCTCCCACGGGCCTCCTTGGGCAGCTACAGGCCGCGCCGCAACCTCCGCTTCCCGAAGCAACTGTGCCCGAGCATTTTCCGTGCGCGCCTTTAGGCCGTATAGGCCTGCTTCGGCATTTGATTCCACTCGGAAGGCGGCCTGCGAAAGAAATTCGACGCTGTCTGCCGCGCCCGAGAGAGAACCTGTGGCTTCTCTCTTCTCTCTCACATACACCTGGTAGCCGTTTGAGCGACATGCGCTGCACCAAGCTGGCCGCGGCCTTTTGCTGCCTGGCTTGAAGCCGCACTTTGCGCGCCAAGCGGCCGTAGCCTCAGTGAAGGATCTGGTGCAGTGCTTCGCAGCAAGCAATGGAAGGGACGGTGGATTCTTGCCTGTCCACTGAGTGAAGTTGGCAAACCTTCGCTCGATGGACGTAAATGTCAAAACTACCCGCAAAAATATGAGCTCAAGAAACTCACGGCGGCGCTCGCACAACAGCTCCAACAGTCAGAGAGCGCAGCCGGCCAGAGAAGCCAGGGTCGCAGCAGCAGGGGGGCGCGGACAAAAGCTCCTGCGCGCACTTCTTTCTTTCCTCGTTCGAAACGGCCGCTCCGTCTGGTCCCTTTCCCCCGCATAACGGCCACAGCCGCCAGGGGAGCTCCAAGAACGGATCAGCAAGTTTGCGAATGAGCCCTGGTTACCAGCAAAGCCATTCGAAAGGCGCGCTTGCGCTCTTGCGACCAGGCACTGAAGCCGCCGTAGAAGAAACACGTGGCTTTCATCAGCTGCGGGTTGGCCAGCAACCACAAGCCGGCACTGGTGCGCGTGCACGTACTCAGCACCATCGATGGAGCTGCTGATCTCCCGGGCAGTGGCATGCCTGCTTGCCAGTCTGCAAGGGCCTGTCTTCTCTTCAGGCCCCTTGTCTTCTTCTTCTTATTGGCAATGTGCTGCCGGAGACCTCTCCCAAACCTTCCGACTCTTGCGTTGCCCGGTCTGCCTCTTGCGGGTCGGCGGCCTCCTCCTGCCCGGCGCCTGCCGTGTTCTGGCCCGAGGCCGCCCCCTGCGTCTTCTGACTCTCCCAAGCCCTGCAGAATCGCAAGCACAGAGTCAAAGTCTAACACAGCGGCCATGACGGAAAAAATGCACCGAGAACGACTTGGCCATATCTTGCGGCGCCTGAAGCTTGAGCCAAGCGGCTCTGTGAGTTCCCGCTCTCCTCATACCAGGAAGTTGGCTAGGGAAAAGCATGGCAGTGTGATTTTAAGCACGCATGGAACTGTTGGCTGCTGCAACTCCTACACAAATCCCCGCAGACAGCACCCCAAACAGCCGCAGCATCGTCCTCTTAGCATGTCATGGTGTGTTAATCATCTTACTGAAGATGTAAAACACATTCCGCAAATGTTAAGCAATAGTTAAACAATATTGAAACAAGGTAATCAATATGTAAACATTATTTGAACAAAGTTTCAACAATAATTGAAATATTCAAAAAACAACAATAAAAACATTTTTAAACAATTTAAACAATATTTAAAAATGTTCAAACACAATATTAGGTTTCTGAGAATTATGAAACTCAAAGTTTATTGAATTTGTCCTATGGGGGTCCCCACAGGCCTTCTTAAAAACGCCCAACAAACAAACAAACAAACAAACAAACAAACAAACAAACAAACAAACAAACACACGTGGCAAAGCAGTGAGATGTGGAACAACAGCTGAGCACATCCCCCTTTCCTCATGCTTGGAGCCAGTGAGTAGAGCCACTGGAGCCATTGGAGCCATTGAAGCCATTGGAGCAGGGACAAGTGATGTTTGTACATGTATTCGTTCATCATCATTTGTAAGCACTGCCTGTGGTGTGCGTTTTTTTTCTTTCTTTCCTTGGCCGAGTGACGTACCCTCGCAAAAACTAGGGTGCATAGTTCATTTGGTTGTTCCCCAAATCCCGGGGTTTCCCTTGGGACATGACCACTGTGTTTCAGATGGTTCAAGCCTACATTGGGGTAATCAAACATGGAACCCGGTCAAGAACAACGCAGGACATTGGGAGGGTGCTCCATCGAAATCTGCAGAGTGCTGTCTGTAGCGGGATCATTCCCTTTCGGCTGACACACGACTGCAATCTCGACACAGGATCTTCTCAGAACTTTCCGGATTACTCAGGGTGGGATTTTCCATGGGAGATGATCCTGCGGAGAAAGCGTGGGATGAAATAGGTGCGTTTTTTGAGGGTACCCCATTTGGGGTTGGCTTAAAGGGAAACTGCAAAACAAAGACCACCCATTCCCCTATGTCAACATGGGCACAATTGTGCGCTGGTCGATCCCTATGGCTGAAAACTACGGACAAATGGCAAAACACAGGTGTTGGTCTTTGGTTCCGTTTACCAAGGTGCCTTTCTGGTCTCCATTCTTTGAGCCAGAGGATGCACTGAGGATTCAGCTTTCTGGCTTGGGAATGAGCAACCCCGATCACATCACATTGGTGGCTCGTCTTTTAGGGGACCCCCAAACAAGTGGTTGGTGTTCCTGTAAAGTTGTTTAAGACCAACCTCAACAAGGGGCACCCCGAAAAAAAGACAAGCCAGGTTTCTCAAACTCACACTCAAATCACGTCAACCGATTCTGAGAACAAGCAGGTTCTCCCAACATTTGTTACGGTCTTTGGAGCAAACGCTGATGGTGCTAGTTGGGCCAAAAGGTGATGCTTAGAACCGCACATACTGAAACTCCTGCCCCCCCCTTAAAGAAGCTCTGGCAACTCCATGAAAATATAACATAAACTGAAATACTGGGATTCCTGCCCAACAGCCGAAGGAAAACAACAAACACATCACGGCCGATCCGCTCGCCTCTTCTTCAAGGATCGCCAGTGGCCCTGCGGGTCTGACAACTTCCCCTTGGGCAGAATCACCGCACGGTTCATCTCGTAACCTCAGAGGGAGCCAACGGCTATGGACCAAATCCTCCACCAGTTGAGATGGAGAAAACGCTTTTCTGGGAGAAACGTGATTAGAAACCTCAATTTTGCTCGTTTGCTCATTGGTGAGTGGGTTGCTCATCCCCTGCTCGTTGCTCGTCCCAGCCTAGCCAATCAAGATTACTTAGCTGCAAAACGACATGGCAAAATCAAATAGGTTCCGTCCTGTTCGTGCTTGGAATCTCAGGAGTTCCAAACCCCATGTCCCTTCCAAATAAACACAGGACATGTTGACCAAGACTGCATGTGTTTGACCAACCAGGGTTAGGATATGGAACCCCAAATGGGTGTTCCCTGTTGCACCCCCAAAAGGGTACCCTCAAAACATACTCCATAAGCTGTCATTCCTTTGAGGGTACCTCTTTTTTGGTTTTAAAGGAACACCACAAGGACAGCAGCAACTTTTTGGGGGTCCCCGCCCCCCCAAAAAAACACATACACATTTGGTGTTTTGGCTTGGCTGGACCAGTACCCGTCCAACCATTTGGTTTCAGCTAGACTTCCAATCCCAAAAGCCTCCAAAACCCCTTCGGGATTATCTGAAATTTCGATCCGCTTCCCAGGCTGCACGAATCATCAGCGGGCCCCTCCAATCGGAGGTTTGGATTGGTGAGGAGTGCCCTCCACAAACGCCAGGGCTTCACATCCCCGATGCAAACCAGCAACTGCGGGCTACCTGAAATCAAAGAAGCGATTCTCTCAACATTGGGTACACGACCTCCGAATGGATGGCGTTTCTTTCAGGCGATGGCGAAAGGGTATCCTTTTCGGGGTTCAAAAAGGGCCACACTAAAAGGAAACAACCATGTTTATGGGGGCGAAAACCATGGTTTGACGCACAAACCATCCTCTTTCCCAATCTTTGGCAGTGAGCCAAACACCCTGCATTTTTGATAAATAACCCCCCCCCCCAAAAAAAAAAGAAGAAGAAGAAAAACAAACTACTGTAACAAAAAAATGGTAACGTGTGTATAGTTTCCGTGACTGAAAGGAAAGGTACCTTCGGGCCCGAGCTGGTTGATACCCGTCGATTTTGAACTTGGGGCCACAAATCATGATCAAAGTTACCCAAACAATATATCGGGGGCCTGGCACACAGGCGCCCTTTGATGTGTTTTGCCTTGTCTGGGGTCACAAAGCCCAATCTGAAGGTTTACCCACTCCATCGATCTGGGCATGGGCCACCCCCCAGTTTGGCATGCTTAAACATGGCTAACCACCGCGTTGTTGTTCTCCTTTTTAACGGGCCTGGTAGTTTAAACTATCAAAGTCGGATATGGAACCCCAACATGGATTTTGTCTTTCCATCTGGCTTCCCTTTGAACCGTGGTGAAAAAGGGTACCCCCCCAAAAAAAAGTTTTATCCTCCTTTGGGAGATAAAATAAACCACACACCACCAAGTTTGACGGCCCCCCCCAAAAAAACAGAAGAAAGAGGATAAAAAAAAACACAACAACCCGGTTTGGCTCCCCTGAACAGAACATGCAAAAGGAACAACCAACAACCCAGTTTGCCGGAGGTCCCCCCTTTAAAAACAAAACAACAACGGACAAACACCGCTCCTCCCACTGCTCCGATTCCTTTTCGGTGAATGGATCCGAGGCTTTGGCCATTGATCATGGCCCCCAGGCACACGGCATCGCAGGCCACGAACCGCAGCGCCAGCCTCGGACCACGCCGAGCCGAGGCTTTTTTTGGAGCGTGTCACAGCGAAAAGCGCATTGAGGTGATATGCTCTGTTGGGAAATGCATGGGTTTTACGACTCACGGGCAATCTAGGGAAAGGGAGGCTTGTGAACATGAGGGTCATGTTGGGGCCATTGTTTGGGGCCAAAATGGACCCCTTTAAATGGGGTCCAACAATTTGGGTCCATATTATTTTTGACAACCCACCACCGGTGATATGTTTTGTTGGGGGTCCCGAAACACCGGTTTTACCTCAACCCAAAGCAGGTGATGGTGCTGCGGAAATCGGCAACACAGGGGTGTTACCTCAGAAACTCCACAACACGCCAGAGAGAAGGGATACGCCTGGACCTTGCCCATCCATGTGAAATGAGGTTTGCTGATCTGGCCGGGCAAAATAGAGCCTCAACAACACACAGAATGCAAAAAGTTTGGGCACCCCAATAAAACCATAGATTCTGACAATCTGAACCGAAGAGCTCTTGCCATCTGTGCAAGAGCTAACCTTCATCTTGCCCGGCTTCACGTGGGGACACCTTGCGTAGCCCTTGGACATGGAGCCGAGCAAACACTCACTTGCCCAAAGGAGTTGGAAATAAAAGATTAACCTTTTACCTCTACAAAAAAATGGACCAATCTGGGAAAACCAAAAGGTCAAAAGGTCGGCTTTGGGCAACTGAGTACATGTTCTATGGCTTTCTGGCTGATCCAAGTTGGTCAAAGCTCGCTTCTCCGTCCACGTCTCGATCCAAGGATCCCGGTTCCCTCCCGTCACACCCATGGCATTTGGGTATGGGTCAAACTTAAACCAGGCGACCACAGGTTATATTCATGGTTTCCATTTGCCAGGGTGCCATTTTGGGTACCTGTTTTTGACCCAACCATTTCACGGCTCCGAAAGTGCCCGCAAGACTCCGCCGGGTTCTTTCAAGGTGACGGGGCGCCACAAAACGGTGCCGACGGAGGTAAGTCATCAGCAACGGCCAGATAAAACCTCCGGATAATGTAAACTCCTGTATGTTGTTGTGAGGTCTGCTCGTCAGAACACTCTAGGAATTCTCCCTACAACCTGACTTTACAAGGGACATTACCCAAGCCAGCATCAAGTCACGGATTGCAACGATCGCCACTTGAGGTGCCAAAAAAGCGACATGGCTCGGAAACCCCGGTCTGAATGCAACATGACCTGTCGCAGTTGCTTCACGTTGCGGGACAATTGGGGACAATCCCCCGCTTCTATATGGTACCAGGGAAGCTCCACTTTAAATGGAGTAGTCATTGGCAATTCCAGTGCGCTTCAAAGGAGGAGTTCACCAATACTTTCCTGGAGTTTCCATGACCCTTTAGCAAACGGTGAATGCTCCCTTTTGGGTAGATGAGCTCCTGCAGCTTCTACCTAGCACACACGAAGGTATTCGCAAAACAATCGCGAGCCCATATGTTGACCGCAGGTCACGTGCATATTCCTTGTGTGTTGTTGCATGCTGCGCTGGTGGTTTCACCCACACCCAATTTTACGCAGCCAGATTCCAACTGTAAAGTAGCTGTTGCGTTCGCAGGTCACGCATTTAGAGCGCCAAATGAGCTGAAAGGCTCCGTGTTACGGCCCCAACTAAAAGCATAGCTGTTCTTGCACTTGGCTGCTGTCTCCGCCAAAGCGTGTATGACCCCAGGTCACAACAGCCCCAGATTCAAGAATGGCAGCAAAAGCACCATTTACAGTTGCTTGGATGTGCTGAACATTCTTCAGCTGTACTTGAACCTGGCTGCTGTCTCCGCCGTCGTCTGAACCCCAGGTCACAACAGCCCCAGATTCAAGAATGGCAGCAAAAGCACGTCCAGTTGCGTGGATTTGCTGGACGTTCTTCAGCTGCTCTTGCACCTGGCTGCTGCCTCCGCCACAGCGTGGACTACCCCAGGTCACAACAGCCCCAGATTCAAGAATGGCTGCAAAAGCACCACAAGTTGCTTGGATGTGCTGGACATTCTTCAGCTGCTCTTGCACCGGGCTGCTGTCGCCGCCAGAGTCAGGATCACCCCAGGTCACAACAGCCCCGGATTCAAGAATGGCTGCAAAAGCACCATAAGTTGCTTGGATGTGCTGGACAGTCTTCAGCTGCTCTTGCACCGGGCTGCTGTCTCCCCCATCTTCTGGATCACCCCAGGTCACAACAGCTCCAGATGCAAGAATGGCAGCAAAAGCACCACAAGTTGCTTGGATGTGCTGGACATTCTTCAGCTGTTCTTGCGCTTGGCTGCTGTCGCCGCCAGAGTCAGGATCACCCCAGGTCACAACAGCCCCAGATTCAAGAATAGCAGCAAAAGCACCTCCATTCACAGTTGCTTGGATGTGCTGAACATGATTGAACTGCTCTTGCACCTGGCTGCTGTCGCCGCCATCTTGTGGATGACCCCAGGTTACAACTGCCCCAGATTCAAGAATGGCAGCAAAAGCGCGGTCAGTTGCTTGGATGCTCTGGGTGTTCCTCAGCTGCTCTTGCACCTGGCTGCTGTCTCCGCCATAGAGTGTATGACCCCAGATCACAACATCCCCAGTTCCAAGAATGGCAGCAAAAGCGCTGGTATTTGCTTGGACGTCCTGGACATTCCTCAGCCGCTCTCGCACACGGCTGCTGTCTCCGCCGAATTCTGGATTACCCCAGGTGACAACTTCCCCAGATTCAAGAATGGCAGCAAAAGCACTGCTAGTTGCTCGGATTTGCTGGACGTTCCTCAGCTGCTCTTGCACCTGGCTGCTGTCTCCGCCAAACTGTGGATCACCCCAGGTCACAACCTCACCCCCGTAGCCGTGCCAAGCGAACGCCTTCCAGGTGGCGGCCAGTTTGCCAAGATTTACAATCGCAGCCACCACGTCCCCATCTCGCAAACCGGCCTCATCCAGCGTGGCCGTCAAATCAAGCTGCCGGCCTTTTGCAATGAGCTTCAAGCGGCGCTGGAAATGCTTCTGCGCTGCAGCCTTCAGCTCGCTGATGAGTGTCGACGGTGAGACTGCCATGGAGAAGCAATCACCACTGGGCAGGTGAACATGCACCTCCATGCCGCAGGAAGGCCGAAATGGGTGCGTTCAAGTCCCCAGGCACCAACCTGAGACCCACAAACATGTTGTCTGGGGCCAGATAACATAGAATCCGAACAACAAACAATGCCACAGATTCTCCGTTTTGCGCTTGGAAGATTTCAGTTGGTCTGACCTCTGACTCACTTCACCTGCTCATTCTTGGATCTCCCACAGTTGCCTGAAATCGGCTTCGGTGTCATGTCGTTTCCGAAACATAACTCCTCAACAAATTCGCACCCCAAAAACAAGCCACCCCCCAGCAGCTGGCGCGCTTCGATGTTTATTGATTTTTGCGTTTCTTCCGCAAACGAGCCCCGGGCGAACCTGTGGGAATGCCCACACGTTACCCAGGAGGTGTCTCAATTTGAGACACAAGGAGCTTGCTTCGCGATGATGGCCCAAACAAAACGCCCTTGTTTTTGCAGGTATGGACAAGCGATTTCCCTCCAATCATGGAAGTGGTGTGGGATTATCACGAAATGACCGCTTCAACTGTATCACATCAACCGAACCCCCCCCGGAAAAATCCACCATGCTCAGCGCAGGTCGATTCCCTCGCCCGCGAAGTCCCTGACTCGAAAGTCAGACCCTGGAAGCAGGCTCTGGCGAAAGAAGCACAGAATTCCAGGGTACCTTCCATTTCCATTCTGAACCCAGGGATCCGGATCTTTCTAGAAAACCTCCGGAATCCCAGCAAAAACGGATCCGGTTCTTGGAAAGAACGATGGTTGAAAAGAATGGTTGGAATCAACCCCTAGAAGAATGGGTTACAAAAAGCAGGACATGTTCAACTCACTGACAGACATGCGGCTGTACAAGCCAAGCCATCTTTTGGATCAAGATTTCATCATACCTAAGCTTGAATTGGGGAGCACCCAACGGAAGATGTTTGGTATCCAGTCGAATCCCGTGGATGTCCAAGGACGAACTCTGGTTCCGTCGTTGACTTCCTTCACCCAAAACGATGTGGTGGCACCAAAACTGAGGGTTTTTTGTTGCCCCTACCAGAAATGCACAGATCCAAAAAAATGTAAAATCCTGCAACTTGCCAACAAAAGTAAAGTGCTCAAGGGGTTTAAGCAACACTTTGGACCTTGAATCAAACTGTGGAGTTCATCCCAGATTTCCTGGACGGCCCCTGTTGCCAAGGGCCCATATTCAAGCTCAGCTGCTCTTGCACCTGGCTGCTGTCGCCGCCAGAGTCAGGATCACCCCAGGTCACAACAGCCCCAGATTCAAGAATGGCTGCAAAAGCACCATTCACAGTTGCTTGGATGTGCTGAACATGATTGAGCTGCTCTTGCACCTGGCTGCTGTCGCCGCCATCTTGCGGATGACCCCAGGTTACAACTGCCCCAGATTCAAGAATGGCAGCAAAAGCGCGGTCAGTTGCTTGGATGCTCTGGGTGTTCCTCAGCTGTGCACCTGGCTGCTGTCTCCGCCGTATTCTGGATCACCCCAGGTCACAACGGACCCAATTTCAAGAATGGCAGCAAAAGCACGCTCAGTCGCTTGAATGTGCTTCACGCTCCTGAGCTGATCTTGCACCTGGCTGCTGTCTCCCCCATGATCCGAACTACCCCAGGTCACAACAAACCCAGATTCGAGTATGGCAGCAAAAGCACCGTCAGTGTTTTGGATGTGCTGGACGCTCCTCAGCTGCTCTTGCACCTGGCTGACGTCTCCGCCGAATTCTGGATGACCCCAAGGCCACAACGGCCCCAGATTCAAGAATGGCAGCAAACGCATACTTTGCTGCTTGGATGTTCTGGACCTTCCTCAGCTGCTCTTGCACCTGGTTGCAGTCTGCGCCATCTTCTGGATCACCCCAGGTCACAACAGACCCCAATTCAAGAATGGCAGCAAAAGCACCATTTACAGTTGCTTGGATGTGCCGAACATTCCTCAGCTTCTCTTGCACCTGGCTGCTGTCTCCGCCGCCGTCTGGACAACCCCAGGTCACAACAGCCCCAGATTCAAGAATGGCAGCAAAAGTGTCTCCGCCATCTTGTGGAATTCCCCAAGTCACAACCTCGCCCTCGCAGCTATGCCATGCGAACGCTTTGTAGTTGGCAGCCAGCTTGCCAAGCTGCACAACCGCGGCCACTGCGTCCCCATCTCGCAACCCAGCCTCACTCAGCGTGGCTTTCAAATCGAGCTGCCGGCCTTTCGCAGTGAGCTTCACGCGGCGCTGGAAATGCTGCTGCGCTGCAGCCTTCAGCTCGCTCACGGGCGTCGCCGGTGTGGCTTGCATGGAGCAACCATCTCCACTGGGCAAGTGAACATCCACCTTCATGGCGCAGCAAGGTTCTTCGGGTTCAGGTTGCCAAGCACGAGCAAACACGTAACTTTCAAGGGGCGCGTGTTTAATGTGTTGTCAAAGTGGAGGTTGACACCGGAATATGAACCGTCCGCCCTGTGAGGACCCTTCCAGAGGTCTAACTGCCACTTTGCGGCTAAAGTTCTTGAGCAGAAGCCAAAGATCGAAGTAAGCAATCCGTTCCCTCTTCTTGCCCAATAACTCAATAACAACTTAAGTCCGCTGGATAAAATGGCAACATTTCAGTAGTGCTCGAATCTGTTTAAAACCAACACTGGAAAATAAATCAAGAAAAACAAGTTCTTAAGCAAATCTTACCCCTTAAAACTCCAAGCCCTGGGGAAGTTAATCTTTTACAGACATATAGCCCATGTTACACAAAAAGTTGAAAAGTTGTGATTTTAAGAGGTAAGAAATGGAAGGTTAGCGGAGACAACGGGCCGTTGGCAATTGACCCAAACCCCATACCAAACCCCCCGAAAGTTAGGTAAGGCGGTTCCGCGGCCCTTGCAGCGGTTTCGATTCTTCCCCACCACTTTCTGGTTGGCTTGGCTGGTGATGTGAGGGTTGATCAAAAGGTCCGTGATACATGGGATGACCATTAAGGAAAACCACTAAAATGATGATATGTTTACTAACCAGGACATTCGAGGGCCGAAGGGAGTATTGATCCACCCCCATATGTCTAGGGCCGATTACATTAAATTGCACCATGCCAAATGCTGCTGGGTGCTTTTCCAGCTTTGAAACATTTTGTCCCTGGCTCCGGGTTTTCTTCGGGGTCTCCGCAAGCCCACAGCGACCAAAGGACCCACGCTGAGTCGAAGGACATCTGTCACTGGTCTTTACAACCCAAACGGTAGTAACAAACTCACTTTGTTGGCAGCACCGCAAAAAGACGAACAGAACCAGAAAAACACAAACAACTAAAAACATCCGAACAGCAGTGAACTTGATCCCTCGTGCGTGGTTTTGGAAGGCGTCCCATTTCATGGAGGGTCAGACCACTTTCCCCCCTATGTCTAGGATTGACAACATGGCCGAATTCCTTTCAGCATTTAGCATCTTTTTACCGGGGCGTCAAAAAGCGATCCATTGTCGAAATAACTCATGCTACCGGACTTGGCTCGTCGGCGCGTGTGGTTTCACATGCCCGAGTTTCTGAGTTGGGTCGTCAATTTTGAGCCGCCATGGACGTTACGTCCTTTCGGCTTCCCTTTGTGCCAAGCTGGTAAGTGGCAACCGCCGCAACCGCCACCGGGGTTGCCCTCTAATGACAGGTTGACTCTATTGAACGGGACCCTTTTCAGTTGCTATTTCAACACCATCTATATAAGTGCCCGGTGTCAACTAAAGGCCTTGCCAAAATCAATGGTAAAGGAGCGCAAGGCATGCAAGGCCTTCTTCGGTCTGCCCAGATTTTGCTTTCGAACTGAGCTTTGGCCCTGGCGCTTTCATTACCATTTACAAGTCCTTGTTTTTGAACGTGTCAAGCTGGGGTTCTGACCATTCAACGCGATTCCTCCCAAACTATCCGAAACTGGGAGGAAACCGATCCCATAGAAGCCCGACCCACTTCAGAAACATCATACGCATACTTGCTCGCCCAAAGGACCTGCAAACAACAGGTGAATCCTTTAAGGAACCTTACGTATGGACCACAGGGAAAACAAAAGGTACGCTCGTTTCGGGAGCATACGAATAGAATTCAGTGTCTCAGTGACTATTCTCGGTTGCTTTCTGCTCCCCTGCTATAAGTTTAACTTTTAGTGGCTTGATGGAAACCCCATTAGTTGGCAAAAAGTTAAAGTCCTAACATCCAAGCAAAATGCACCAAAGTATTTGTTGCCATTCGTCAATGGTTTCCCAAGGCCCTGCTCAGTGTCTAAGGATGTTGCCCAGCTCTCCGCCGAGTGCTGCTGTTGCCCAGGCTGCCATGCACTGTGAGGTCCTGGGAACTCTCCGATGCTCTATTAGGCTTAGCCGCAATGTGTCCCGGTACATCATCCCATGGGAATACTCAGTTGGGTGTTTGTTTTTGTGGGTGTCCCTTTGTGGTGGTTTTAAAGGAACAAACTTTGTGGGTCCCCAAAAGCACACCCAGTTCAGTCCTTGCTAAATCGTGATGGTTAAAACCCCAAGGGTTTTCTGAGCACACCCGGTACTACGAGCCATTTTGATCAAAACCACCTGAGAAGCGGCTCGCTGCAACAGGCCCGAGGCGAAGAAACGGCCTGCTGAAGCGGCCAAAAAGGCGGCGAAAAATCTGGGGGCTGCCGATTGAAGGAAACCCAAGGAACCACTTGGAGGGCTCCAGAAGTCCCAGGTTTCAGACCGGCGCGTCGGAGCGAGCGAGCGAGTCCAACTGGGAGCTGAAAGGTTGAAGCCACATTGATTCTGGAAGGACACCGATGGTTGAGCCCCGACGTCTTGCGGAGTCCCCGGCGCTATGAATGGAGGCGTGGCCCGGTGCCAGTCGGCAGCTCACCTCTCCACAAAATCACATGGCGAGGAGGGTGGATGATCCGAGCCCTTAAGGGAAAAACACACATGGGCCAGCACCCCCTCCCAACGGGGAAAAAGCAGTTGTTGGAGGGTGCTGGGGCGGACATCCATTTCTGTAACTCCACAACGATCGTTGAAGCAAGCAACCTTTGGGTTGTCGTAGGCAGCCAAGGCCTGACTATAAGCACTTCTTTTGCCCAAACCTGGTTTTCACTCGCCTCCAAACTGCTACCTGCGCGAAAATGGCGAGACAAATGCTTTTGTTGCTTTGATGGTGCCCTTTTTGGACGCGGTCTGAAAGGGTGGCCAAAGTCTTGCCTAGTAACACTTCGCGCAGCACCCCAGGTTCGCCGCCGGGTCCGAAACTGAGGTCCGCGCCTTTCGCCCCACGCAAAGTCAGGCCGGCGATGCATTCAACCAATCACACTTCTCTGGATTAAGAGCGTCCCTGGGGCTTAGGCCAAACAGCCCATTAGACAAATCAGACCTGTATGCCGCAAGTGTTTGCAGCACTGGGCTGAAGCCAGCGAATCTCGCCGAAAAGCTGCTGCAAGCGAGTGCTTCTGGAATGTGAGGCTTCCTTGCTTGGATGGGTGTGCGCGGCTCCGACGTCCGTGCGCTAGTCCTGCTAGTCCTCCATATGCCACCACCCCCGTATTGTCTTCCGCGTGGCCACATGCTGCACGCTCAGTGCAGGGGGGAGGGTGATGGCTTCAAACGACATCAGGATGCAACGCGTAAAGGGAGCAACCGGCTCTATTCTCCACCCCCCCTCGCCCAAAACCCCTGCGGGCAACACTTGTAAGACGGTTTTTGCTAGGCAAAGTAGGGTTCGGCAAGGAACCGGTGCTTTATTGGGGCGTGCGTCTCTGTTTCTTCTGACCTTGCATAGGCAGAACGACGCAATAGCACAACACCAACAGTGCATTGCCTGTCGAGTTCAAATGCACTCGGTTGAAATCCACGTTTCAACTGTCTGGACCCCTGTAAGAATCGTCTTCGCAGCACAAGTTTAACTGCCCCACCCTCCCTGTCCAGTGGCTTCCCGTTTCAACATCTGAGAGTCAAACGGCAAACTCATTGAATCAAGTGGGCAAGAGTGCACTCCAAGATCTTCCAACTGAAAGCGCTTGCCCTTCGCTTTCTTTTTTGCAGAACTCCAATGGCCCAGTCTCGCGAAATCCGACAGGGCGAGTGACATGTTTTGGTGGACCCTCTTTCCGCCGGTTTGCCGACCACTTTGCAAAGGAAAGCTCAAGGCGCAAAATGGCAGCCTAAGATTCGCCCCTCTCAGAGGAACCATTCAGGTGTGCCCAAATCAATCTGAGATCTTCAAAGCTACTTGCAAGGCCCTTGGTGCTCACAGGCAACTTCGGTGAGGCAACTTGACCAAACCATCTCCGGAAAAGGAACTTAGGTGTCTCAGAATGCGAAAGCATCACTATGGATTCGGAGCCCAAATGAGTGGTCTTATGATTGATTTCCCTTTAACACCTAGCAAAAAGGTGTACCCTGGAAAAAAAACCGACGAGCCACCCTTATGTTGGCCTTTGGATTGCCTTCAGCCAACCAACATCGTTGGTGCCAACAGACACCTGAAACGAGCGAGCGGCACCTTCTCGCCCAGAAGATCCACGTCGGGGATTTCCTGTCGGAGGCAGCTCTGTGCGCGCTGCAATCATCTGGTAGGGTCCACTCAAAGCCATGCAAAGAATCCAAAAGGGTGGATATCTGCACTTTCTGGAACATTCATCAGCTACCCGGAAGTTTTGATACCCGGAAGTTTTGCTTGCCTCTGTTGACTTTTGATTGTCCCGGAAGATTATATTTTGTTTGGGAGACGTGCCAAAATGTAAGATTACACTTTGGACGCTGGTGGACCTATCAGCAAGGTACCTCGCACATAACAAGTTACAATTTCATGAGCTTGCCCCATCCCCAATGCCTTTAAAAGCCTCTGCGCATGCGCCACATCTGCCCCTCCAGCATCATCAGCTTACATTTTGCGACCGCACCCCCCGACCCACCCTATCAAGCTTCCCAGGAAATCCTTGAAAGTGCCCGTCAACTTTTGTTGGGGGGGGGGAGAGAAGAAAAAGTAACTTTCGACGTGGTCAGGTGTCAATTTGCATTTAACCCCCCCTCCCCCCCAAAAAACCCGGATAGACACACCTGGGGGGGGGGTCCCCTTACATGTTTTTGTGTTTTTGTATTTTTTGGGGGGGAAATGCAAATTACATTCTCACACGTCCCTCCCCCCTTTTCGGGCCCTAGAGGGGGTAGGGATGTAATTTGCAGTATTTGGTTGGTTGAAAAGGGAAGCAAGCAGCACCACACTATTTCAATCATATTCATCATGGATGTGGAGTAATGTTGCCCCCATTTCGTAGTTGAATCCCGCCTACTTTGTCACTTTAGATGGCCCCCCCACCGGTGCTATCATAGAATTTGGCTTTCAAACCACATGTTCCTGAACCATGAGTGGATCAACGTGTTGTGCAGTTAAATCATGATGATAATACTTGAGGTGGGTGTGACTTTTTACGGGGGCACCCTTTGGTGGACATCTTTTAGGTGGGGATTTGTGGTTCGCCTACCACCAAATTTCATAGCCGGGTGGCCTTATGGGACAATCGAACGGAACATCGAACCAACTGGCCCATTCTCCATGCCAATTGGAGACCCTCACACATGGATGTGTCCAAAACAAGAAACCCCGCCTGACTGGGTGATCAAAGTAAAGTACCAGCAGAAAGAGGCTTCATCCTACTCTCCGTGCACATATGTACATGTATATATATATATATGTAAAGATATGAATGAGTATTCATTATATTCAATGTATATACATACTGTTTGTACATGTCGATAAATTCTACATTCTCATGTTTAACCAGCCCGCCAACCCACCGCCTTCCATGCCGCACCGCCCATCCCAAGCTGCCGTTGCTTTTCTGTTCCGCCTCACGGCTTGGCTCCTCACTGTACATCCTATGTATTCAGGGATCCTGTGGCTCACTGGCCACAACTCCCCAACTCCCAGCGCCGAAGGCGCTCCGAAAAATCGAAGCCGAATTGGTGCACACCTAGCGAAATCCCCTTCCCATGTTGCCATAGACACCAAAGGATCCCTTCAAGAGGAACGAGAGGGTAGAGCTAGGTCTAAAATGCCGAATTCCGCACAAAACCCGGCCTTTACCAGTGGTAAAGGCCGTAGACCCTGTGCCCCTGTCTTGTGAAGCTTATGTCACGCAGGGGCACAATGCTTTCTGAATTGTCATAGGAAAGACAACAGCAAATTCATGGGTTCTCTACACATGGATTCCCCAAAGCGTTCCCGAGTCCGGAACCTTTGCTCCTGGGGACCGGAGAAAACCCACAGATTTCATCGCCCGTTGCATTCCGCGACGCCCATGGTGTTCACAATCTCGTCTGCTGTAGCTCCTGACTCTTTTCCGACACATCCCCCACAACTTCAGGAGGGGGGGTGGGGGTCCCCCCACTTCCATTCATCTAGTCTTCTCCATAGGGACAATGGACAATGGAGATCTCCAGGGGCGCCTCCAATTGAGCTTTTTAAGGGGGGATCATGGAACGTGTCCTAGGCTTCGGTGCCTGGTAGGACCAAAGACATGGGTCGGTCTGTCAAAGCTTGGTTGACGTCGGAAGGGGAGTACCAATTTAAATTTTAGCAGTTAAGTGGGGATTTCCCACTGAACCACAATAAGCACAAATGCAAAATGTTTCCCAACACCAACCATGAAAATGGGTTTGTGAACTCCTCTTTGGAGTGTCCTTCTGATCTCCCACTTGCGATCGGTGCGAAAAGTAGGGAATGTGGGAATGAACCCAGGGTCCCCTTGAAGGAAACCATCAGTTGGATGGCATTTTACTTTGGTCATTCGATTTTTTATTTCCTGAGGATTAACAAAAGCTAAGATACCCCCTCGAACACAAACAGGCCTGGCGGCTTTGGTTCTCAAAGGGCTTCCCAACCTGGACTGTTTCTTGATTTCCCCTTTAAACTTAGAAGACACATGTCGACTCAATGTATTTTGTCCACCCTTTCAAGCAGACCCCAATCGAGGGAAAAAGAAAAAGCTACTAGATCGGAAGCAAAATATGGATAAAACATATCTGCTTCTTAGAGACATGACCGAACTTTGGAGACCCCAAACAAGGGGCGAGAAGCCTGTTCAAAAGAATTGACCAGCCAAAGAAGGAAGGAAACCAGTGACTTTCGTCGGTTTTGCACCCTTTGTGAGGTGTGGTTGGTTGCTTGGTTGGTTGCTTGGTTGCTTGGCTGGTTGCTTGGCTGGTTGCTTGGTAGCTTGCTTGGTCGCGATTTCACTCGCCCATGCTTACGAGAAACCGGCTAGAAATCCCCTCTAAGAGCCTTACTTACCAGGATACCCGATGGGTACCCGTTTGGGGCAGAGCGGGCATTAGCTTGTTGACAACTCCCCAACTAGTTCTGGTTCCCTCAAGATATGAAGCCTTGCAAGGGGGAAATATGTGGGGTTGATGACTGTGCCTGCCTCAAGAAGTAGAGGGGTCTTTTAACTCTGGCACACGTGGGTTCCGATTTTCTGTTTGCTTTCCCTTGCCAATCCACAAGGGGAACCCTTGAAATTATCAGCCTTTTGAAGGGGCAGGAAGGAAGGAAGCGACAACCTTGCAGTTCATTTTGAGTAAGTTGGAAATGCCGGACACCGTTGCTGGACTGTTTCGCCATGTCGGCCAAGAAGTGCCTTCTGCAGACCATGGCCCACGTAAGGACATGGCCACTTTGACTATTCATTTTTGTTCCAACTTCAGTCCCCAAATCCCACACTTCCCCTCTACTCTTGGTATGGTAGCAAAAAACTATGTTTTTTGCAGCCCCCCGAGTAAAAATAAACAGAACCCCCCCCCCAAAAAAAAAAAAAAAACACACACATGCCCAGAACAGTGAAGATAATACGTCTTGTCCCTGTGCGTCTCAGCATGTTAAAGAAAACAAAATGAATTTCTGTTTCTCCAGCGCAGGGGAAGGCTGGATGTTGTCCCCCTGCGCCAAAAAGAACTGAAAATCACTCCAGGTGAACATGGAATACCAAGACCATGAGAGCAATCCCCTTGTGCTCTGCCCTTTGGGCTCCAAAACCGAGCAAAGAATTGAACCTAAGACCTCCAATCCACGATTTTCCGCCCGTTGTACTGGGCCAGATCGGCGAGCTCTCCAAAAAGAAGGCCGATGTGTTCATTTCACCACCGAAAAGTTGGCTCCGGAGCGGTTTCATGCTGCTTCACGCGATGAGGAGTTGTCTTCGTGGAGGATCTGGGTTTGGAACCTGCAGTGGATTTGTGCATTAGACTCCCGATCCCCCACGAAGTTCCTGGGCCCGTGATGCTGGCGTTCTCGAAGGGAGCCCTCCCGAGGGGAAATGTATTGAACACCTGGGCGTTGATCTAATCCACTTCCCTTTCACGAGGCTTCAACGAGTCAGGTGTTTTTCTCAGGGGAGTAAATATAGGCGTGTCTTTTTTGACACCCCTTAACAGGGATCCGGATGCCTTGTACACCTGAACCTTGCCTTGCAAATGGTGGTTTCCTTTATTTTGGTGGAAAACGCCATGTTTCAAATGGTTGCAACATGTATCTTTTAAGGAGCCCTGCTCAATCAGACCATTTTGCGGGCCCCTCATACAAACACACCCATACCAAGGCGCCGCAAAGGCCCACCATGCCGTTGCCCAGCGCCTGAGTCGGGTCTTTCAGCTTGGCCCATCTCTGGGGACGAATCATATGGGTGTGGCTCAAAATTTAAGAGCTAGGGTTACACAGGTGTTGGTTTTTGCTTCCATTTACCTCCACTCACCTAGGGGCCCTTTGGGCATTTTCAGGAGGTGATAAGCATGCTGTGGGATCACGCTCCGCCTGCCACTGGCATTCACTGTTTGCGCATGTGCATCAATGGCACTGTGTGGGCTGACCTGGTCCTGCCTGAATCAACCGCATGGCGAAACATCAAAATCGGCTTGATGTACTGCTTTCCGCGCAGGCCTACGCTCATTCACGAGCATTGCAGTGATGTTGAGTTGCGTGAGGGTTGGAGCCTTAGGGCGTTGAACCCCAATCCCAATTCGCACACGTCAAGGGTAAACATGGTGTTCCCTCAAAGAGGCGGAGGTAGGGATCAGGATTTTCCTCATTCACCACCACCCCCGAATGCACCCAAGCATGTGAATATGGAGGAGCCGCAGCCAATCCCGTGTGACCTGAACGTGCCAAAGCCAGGTGAGATACACGTGCAGCAGCTGTCCCCGAGTGCACCGAAATCTGTGACGTGTGATGATCAGCAGCCAATCCCAGGTGATGTGATAGCAGCACAGCTTGTTGAAAGTCACATGCAGCAGCCAGCCATGAGTGCACCGAAGCCTGTGAACCGTGCCGGGCAAACGCCAACCTGGTGTGACCCGAACACACCGATACCCGTGCAAAATCACGTGCAGCAATTGGCTATGAGTGACCGTAAGCAACGCAAAGAATCCGATATCACCGTTGAGCAGACATTGCCGAAGTGTGTGCGCAACACCCACGGTTGGGACGGTAATCAACTCACAACTGGAATCGGATTGACGGAGAACCAAATTTTCGCCTTGCAG